CTTATATAGTTTAAAATCACTCTTCTATCTAACATGTAAAAAACAAGTATTCTGATTTGAGGTAAATAACACACTTTCTGTTTTTGTCTTAAATTTCACGTATAAAAAAACACTATTCATGAGGGTTTAATTGTCAAGAAATAAAGTATAAAATATAACAAAAACATGAAGTGTTGCTATGTGAAGCATGTGGGGGAGATATAAAATCCACATGTTTGGCATCATTTTAACTTAGAGAGCAGATAAAGCTCAACAAGAGGAATGAGAGATTATTTAAATGATTGATCGCAGGGGTGATTTGGGATTAAAATACCATTCAATTCAAAGATTAAATGCAGGATAAAAGAGCATATACTTAATCTATTAGACACAAGTGTTTATTATGAATGAAATAATAAATCTGGTTTCAACAGCAAGAGTTACACTTAAATAATTTGTTGTGTGGTAATTAAAATACAACTGTAAATCCTTAATTTTTTACTTTATTGAAAAAAATAAACAAAAAGAAATATTATAGCAACTCTTATTACTTAAATCTGCATGGATCCTACAAATTAGAGTGTGTATATATATATATATATATATATATATATATATATATATATATATATATATATATATATATATATATATATATATANTTAGACACAACATAAATTTATCATTAACTACGATTTCACCAAAAAGTTTTCACAATCACAAAAAATAAAAATGAACATAAAAACAATTTGTACATCACATTACAACAAATTAGATCATAGCGCTCTTTATAAAAGTTTGAAAAATACTAAATAATATTATATTATATAAATCTATAATATTTGTAAAACACGATTTTATAATAAATTAATATAAAACTTTTTGTTTATCATATTAATATTTAATTGCAAAATATATAACTTTGCATATATCTTGCCTCTATCTGAATAAATAAGTTTAATTTAACTAAAAGGTAATTTTAGAATCTGTTTTGGTCTTTTAAGTGGTGGTGATATGTAACAGATTTTTGTGAAATTATCTCTGACTCTGATCAAAATGAGATGTAAGGTGCCTTTTATTCATTCTGACAGCAGCGGTCTGAACTGTGGTCCGATCCAAGATGGCCGCCCTCTAGGCATGTTGGCCAGCATCTAATGAAGCGTCTGTGTATATAATGTATATGACTTGCAATGAACAATTTGTGGAGTTGTAACTTTTTTTGTAATTGTGACAGATTTAAAAAAAAATCTAAAATTACAAACACCAAAGTTACAATGCACAAATACTTTTGCAACAGTAGTTCTGGACCATTTGGAGCAATCATGATGTTTTGATTTACAACTTGTAAAACACAATTTGTGTACTTGTACTTAAAATTTGAACTGGTGTAGAAAAAAACTTTGTGAATTCTTTTTTTAATTCTACTTTTACAAAACTTATAATGTAACTCTCTCTACAACTTCAAATTCACACTTAAAATGCACAAATGGGTTTGACTCAATATTACCTTCATAGATTATTTGAATATCAAATTGCAGATTTGTCCAAAAATCCCCAAAATATTGAGTACTGATGGCAAACAGTAGGAAGCAGCAGTATTGCTAAATTCACTGTGATATAAGGACTAGCATTGAGGAAGGGATATTAAATAACCTAAAATGATTTTGACCTGAATGTAGGAAATGACAAGGCATGTATTTTGGCCAGTTTGCAAATAACCTTTGAATTCAAGTTTCACTTGCTAGCATTGTTCTCACCGAGCTCTTTGAACTTTCCATATCTCTGTGGCTGACAGAGAACAGGCTGAATGGAATTACATAATGCAATTCAATATGCACATTCAGCATGGAGAAGCATCTGCTTCTCAACAACCTCTCTGCCTCTGCATGTTTTAGCTCCTTCCAAACGTGTAACTGATGGCTTGAGAAAGAATGTTTCAATATTTACTGCACCATCTTGTTTGCAGTTCAACCTCTTGACTGTGCATGTACGAGGATGTATGACCCACCCCCAACTTCATTGTAAACTCAGCCTGTCCAAATCCATTAAATCAGCACTTACAAGTTCAGCTGGGCTTTATTGCAGGGGACTCGTTGTCATGAAATTAAAGCAAATGCTTGCAACCAGTTAATTCTATTCCCTCGGCTCGGCGGTTCCAGGCAGCCCTTAATGCGGGCTGATAGAATCAGAGCCGGGACAATCAGCAGGGCTTTCTGTGCTTTTACTATCACATCTCTTGTTCTCCTTTAGCATAAATGGATAAAACTAGAGGACATACCTTCCCAATTAGACCTTTCTGCTATTTATCAAAGACAAAATGGAAGTTAGGCAGAGAATTGATGAGAAGTGAAGTCCTTACGAAACCACAGGACAAGTTAAGTGAAATAAACTATAACTTCTATTTTTTATCTTTATCTGATTGATTGTAGAGGATTACACTTTGAAGTGAATTCAATTTTTTTTCTTCTGTTTCTGATGTGTTCGAGAACAACAGAGCAGTGTGCATGTTCCTGTTTGCAGAAAGAAAACTCAGTCCATGCGAAGACCAGAGAGAAAAACATTTTGACAGATTTAGCTCAAGTCATAAAAAGAGTGCTTTAGATATCATTAAAGCACTGTTACTGTTTTAACATGAAAGTTTCATCCTGGAAACAGGAGAAACAGTGAAGCATGGTATTTATTAACTAACCAGCAAATAACTTTACTACAGTAAGGCCATTATTGGCACCTATTTGCATGGTGGAGCAGTTTGTAGCACTGTTGCATTTCAGCAAAAAAGTTGTGGGTTCAATTCCCAGTCTCTCTACATGGAGTTTGCATATTTTCCCTGTGCATGCATAATGGGTCCTGTATGGGTAGTCTGGCTTTGCCCCATACTAAAAAGGAAAAAATATGACTGTTTGGTTAATTGGTCTATCTAAACCTCTGGGCAATCGTGTGTGCATGGTTGTACTATTTCTCTGCCCTATCATAGACTTTAGTTCATAAACTGCTAGAGATATGATGGGTCTGATGAAGAAGATGGATGGATTTAATATGCGAGTTGCCGTGCTGTTACTGTAATCCTCACATAAGAAAATGCAAAAATTAGCCAAATATTACTAACAAATTATTAGAAGCACAGCATCCTAAGATTGTAACTTATAGAAGAAAACATTGAAGATCATTACAAAAACTGAACAAAGCTTCCACAGAGTATCATCTTGCCACTACTGTGTTTTACTGTTTTTCTTCACCAAATGCATTTTTTATGTAGGCCAAAAAGCATAATTTCACCCATTTCCAATTCTCTTATCACAGCATCATCTTCCTCATTGCTTGTGCCACATTATATTGGTCAGCTAGGACTGCTTTCCTACCAGTCAGTTCACATTTATATAGAGTATATCACTTTATGGATTACACTTTTTCTCTCTAGCTCCTTTAGTGTATGGAATTAGCTATTCGGTTGATTCTCTGATTGAAGCTGTCCTTACCAGAGACCTGGCTTTAGGTCAATGGTCTTCTATTGATAGCAAATGAATGGTGCCATAACATTTAAGCTTTAGATTATGATTTAAAAGTTAAATTGTAAATGTTTATATTGCTTCCAAAATAGTAGATATTTCTAAGCAAATTCAACTTTAAACAATTTGGCTGTCGGGTGATTAACGTTAAACAGAAATGCCATTACTGTTTTTTTCTTGTCATGTCACAATTTTAAACTACATTGCTTTGGTCTGTTTTATATAATGTTGAATAAAATACATCGATTGGTTTGCGGTTTTAGTGAGAAAAATATGAAGAATTTTATGAAAGGCACTTAAAATGTTGGTGGGATTGCTGATGCAGTACAGTTAAATACCACTAGGGGGAAGCATATGAGAAAGTTGCCCACAGGGCAATTTAAAAAGTCTTTAAACAGAAATGTGCTCATTTTGCAAAGGACTCAGTCGTTACAGCTTATTAATATAACGCTCACTGGTGGGAGTTAAGAGGTCATGTGACTCAGAATGACTTTCCCTAAGATCTCCTCCAACTTTCTTTATCCTGAGAAGTACAAGATGCTGCTTCAGAGGCAGTTAATCAATAGGGCAGCCTTTCCATCTGACCCTTTAGCTCTCCCACAAGCCTGCAGCTCTTTGTTCCTTTTTTTCTAAAATAAGTACTCATTAATTCCTGCTTAAAATCAAGATCAAGTAAAGATTCAGCGCACACATCTCTATAAGAAATGAATAAAATCCTAAAACATTTCAAACATGGTTGAAACATCAACTATATGTTCAGTTATTTCCGACTATTTATTACAGAAATAGATAAAAATAGGCATTCAATATATTTTAGCTCAATTATAATCAATAATTACTTCAATAAAATATAGAAAATATTCTCCTTCTTGCTATTAAATTAACTTTTGATGGAAAATATGTTTTTCAGCCATGAGGGATGCCGTCATATTCATTAGCTTTCAATTCAGTCCATAGATGGCTTTAAATTTACATGTTTATAAGAAAACAATCTCGTCACTCCACTGGTCTGACTAGGAGTGTTTACACTTCACCTCTGGGCTGCCATCTCCCCGCTTGTTAATTATTAATGGAAATACGCGCTGCTAATTGCTAATTATCTATAAATTGATGACTCATGGCAGAATTTTTTGCTTCATTAACTGACTGTTTATCTACTGAATTAAACATGACAGAAAACGCTAGAGCCGCCACACACAAAAAAAAAAATAGTCTCTCAGTTTTTGTTTGACAGCAAAGATGGCAAGCTGTGTGGGAGTATAAGTGGCTTATCAATCATACGAGGTGGGAAAAGCAGTAGAAGACTAAGTGCTGAATGTAAACCAAATGTGTGCTGTGCAGCCATAAAGTTTGAAAGACTCTATTCTGACTTTTAAAGAATCAGTTCCAGGTTCCTATGAGCCCATCTGGACTCCAAACAACCTCCTTAAATATTGATCTTAAGGCTAAAGCTCATAAAGAAACCAGGTAAGACAGGGAGAGGAGGTAGTTGGTAGATATAGAAGCAGCACTCACAGTACTCACGGTGACTCTGAAAGGTGTGGCAGCGGTTGAGGTGGCTTCCATGGTGGTGGAGTTCTTGTCTGAGGAGCCTGGCATACTCCGTCTGCGCCCCGTCCGCTCCGGAGGAGACTCTACAGACAAACACATAGACCTTAATGTGGCAATAGTTTACATGCTGACTTTTTTAAAATTTCTATCTGAAAAATTTCACATGTCCCTTAAGCAATATCTAATATCAAACAGTTTTTAGAGATTACTTAGATCTCTGTCTTTCAGCCATTTTTTTTTTACCATAAAATGGCTGAAAAGTAAAATGACTTTTAATGACTGATCTAATTCAAAATTATAACAGAAACATTTCAAGAATAATTATCGAGTGGTACTAAACACCTTTAGTTTTAGTAGCAAACACAGTTTCACTAAGTTACTTCTTTTTTTTTTTTTTTTTGGGACCTTTCTCCTACACCACGTATTTCTTCTCTGGTTGTGATAAATCATTTTAATGCGGCTAAATACTTGATTATCGAACACATATCTATGCTTATTGAGGTGGTAATGGATAAGGCTATAGGAAGCTTTAGATTCCCTCAACAAAATATGACTATGTTTCGTAAAAAGGATTCCTTTGTGGGTGCAGAGCAAAACTAAATATTTGGCCACGTAGTTATATCAAAGAATTGCAACATACAATATTGGTCCAAAGTACACATGCGTATTTTGCACCAAAAAGTATTAGATTATTTTGTATTATGTTTTACTCTTCCCTGATTATGTGAAAAAAAAAAACTTATATCCCAAGAATTCTGAGGATATCAAAATTAAATAAAAAGAGAAAATTGAACCTGAACAGTGTGTCAGACCGACCTGCATAGACAGGCAGGTAGAAGCCTGAGTATTTTATACCATGTTATCAAAATGGTTCTGTCACTTTAGTTTTTAAGCATTCAAAGAGTGATATAGCCTTCACTGAATTTCTGCAATCCAGTTTTAACCAGTATTTTGTAAACAAAAGTAAAAAAAAAAAAAAAACAGTTTGTATTCTTTAAAACAATCTAATTTGAAGAGTTTTGATGTGATCCTTTCCAACTTTTTAGGCAGTAAAACGTTAAGGCTCTTCAAACCATCTGGATGAGCATCTGCTACTGCACTAGAGTTTCTTAGTCACACATTCCCTTTTTGAAATGTTCTGTCAAAATAATGTAGGAAAAGGACATTATTGAGAAACAAAAATAAGGTGTTAGACCATTATGAAGGAGTGCTGAGCTCGTCCTGAGGTCATAACATGTAAAGAAGCTGCAGATCTGGACATGTTCATGAGGAATGTAAGCTTCATCCAACATGCAAGTCTTTACATATTTCAGTTCCCTCTTTTGCCTTCTCATCCCAGAGAACACAAGAATAGGGTACTTAAATAGATCGCAAGTATGCAATGCGTAATTTGTATTGAAATATAGAAAAAGCTCAGAATGTGAGCTATAATTGTTGATATGGTGATAAAATATGTCCATATTTAGGGACATTGTGATTCCATGACATTATTCAGGTCATGTTAAGTTATCTTAAATTAGCCTCCAACTGTCTGGAACAACTAATACAATTAGTACTACAGTGTGTGAAGCATAATATTCCTGTTAAGTCATTGTGTAATTTATCATTGTATAACACATCGTCTCACACACAGACAAGTGAACACACACATAGATACACAGACAGACAAACACAACTTTTCTTTGGCTTGAGGAGGTATTATATATATACTTTAATTAAGAGAAATTAACACATGACTGCATGAATTCACAGATTTGAGTGATTGGTTGGAAAATTGTGTTATCATTCTGGTTTAACAGTGTCATCAAAGGGCAAAAAGAAATAATTTATTTTTGTAGATTTATAAACAAAATAATAATTTTTTTCCCCCCTAAATATGCAAATGTTGGGTGTACGTTCCTACTGCTGTCACACTGAGTGCATATATATATATATATATATATATATATATATATATATATATATCATTTGCAGTTTTTCACACATCACCTCACACACTTGTACTGTGTTGTTGGTGAAGGACAAAGCGGGATTGGGAAGAGTATGGAAGATAAATGGAACTAAGTACAGGGAAGAAAACCTGTTAAAAGGCTGCTGAAGTGTTAAAATAATGATCCATTGCATAATGAATCTGCAAATATATCAAATGAAGCTGGCAGAGACATCCTAAAAGACTAAGATTCTAAAAACAACAATACAGCTCTGCAGTATTTTACCTGAAATCCCAAAAAAAATAAATTCATTCAAATGATAATAAATGTTTCTCAGTATCTACCCATATGTAGACATAATACAAACACAAATCTGCTTTTTTTTTTTTTTTTTCATTTTTTACATGTTAATTTGTCCTGTGACAGTATGAAGGATTTCATTTGAGAAAGTAATGTTTGAAAAGAAGACACTGATAATTCACTGTCGAAGGACAAAACTCAGAGGGTGACGAGAACAGGTTTTATCCTGTCTGTCAAGTGTTCATTAGTATTGATATGGATGGTAAATCTTTAAAGTCTCCTTGGAAATCAGATTCATGCACTAAGGAGTGTTAAAGCGATGAAATTAAAAACATCTTTATCTTTAGTCATGGCACAACTTGTTCACTCACTACTTTTCTGTTGCTTTTCCTCCTTGCAACCAACAAATACAGCAGGATTGAAATTTCTGCTGCCATGACAACAAGACTTTTTAATCCTTTCAGATCAAAAACTCATTCATGAGCGAATAAGGTTGATTAAGGTAATTATCAGCCCTGACGGAATCAAGTCAGCAGTGCAAATTCTAACACCCAGCCTTTAACAAATTTGCCCCTCTGAGGCTTGATTTGGTAACAGAAAACTCCCCGCCTGTGCACAGCTGGCTGCTGTTGGCGCTTAAAGGAAAACCAACACAACACACGAGCGCACTTCACAGAGCTTTAAAGGGAGTGCTGTGTGCAAATGCGATGCAGGCTTTCACATGCTCCAGCCATCTGACTATAATCAATCTGCACAAATGTATGGAAATTTGCCACTGCTGTGAAGATGTGAGGAAGTCCTGCGTCTGCTTCGACGGACAGGCAGCTGGCAGCAGACAGTGAGCAGACCAGTTTTCAATAAAACTTAGATTAAAACACAAAGTCTAATGAGACACCCAAGGAAAACTATTAAGGAGGTTGTTTTGTCAAACACGAGGGGTTTGATCTCGGGAACATTTCCTGTTTACAGGGGGTGTGTGGCAGTTGTGTGCAGCATCTCAGATCACAGATAGAGTGTGTGTTAGTCTGCATTTGGTATGGAAAAGGGTCAGAGTGTCCACAATAAGCTGCTGTCTTGGAAATTTCAAATACGATAGGCCTAAGATCATTTGCTGGATGTTTCCACTCAATTCATTCTCGTTCTTCTCATCATTTCCATGATCTTACAATGACTGTTTTCCTTTATCAAAGGGATTTCTGATTATGCCTTCAGACTTGGCTCTGTCCTATGTTCCTCTGCACACAAACACTGACATTCTGGAGAGGAAACCAACCCAACTAACTGGAATTTTCAATGTAGCCAGTGATGTTGCAGCCTACTATCTGTCTGACCACATTTTTCTTTTTTTGTTTTTTTTGTTTTACATGGTTAAAAACATACGACAAGTTGCTGCAGTGGTTTTTTTGTGTCTTTGTGGTTGGTAAATTGATTAGTATGCTGGAAGAGATTTACAACCAAAGTAGAATAGCTAACCTTATATAGTTTACAAGATCACAAAATCTCTTTGTCCATAAATGTTAAAGACCACAGACACTGAGAAAACCTGCCTTCTGTGGGGTGTTAGCCAGAGGAAGTGGTTTGAACTGTGAACAGGGGACCAGATTGTATACTTTTGATGAATCACACTTATCAAACCTCTTAAGACATTTGGGTAGGATCACAGGATGTAGGAAAAACAGTAAACTTTATAGAGTCTTTAAGGATCACTTGAGTTTGCCTATTTAGCCTGAAATGTTTTGTATAGGGCTAGAAAAGACGTATTATCATGACATATTGTGGTAGGTTCTGCAACAGCATAAGATCCTAAAGGTTATCCAATCATGTATAAACAAAGCAAGAGTTGGTTCCACATTAATAGCATAAAGTTGAATTAGTTCAGAGGAAGGCTGCTATTTCTGGTGTTTATGTTCCTGGACAGGTTCTCAAGGTGTCGTCATGAAGAGGTCTGTGTCAGGTGTTGAAATCTCGGGGGTACATTTATGCTTTTTTGTGGATGTACTTCTCTGCCTGTCTTAAAACCACTTAGAGCATCCTAAAAACATTTCTTGTCATTTCCAAATGTGAATAGGACAGGATGAGTGTGGGCTCCTCTCAGCCTGAAGTAAGGCTTCTCAAGTGGAAAGAGGTAAATTGCTTCCTCTAAACTGGGGGTCAAACATTTCTTTAAGGAAAGGCATTCCAGTCTGTTTGTGTCTCTTTCATGATTGATGGTAAGATCGAGTAGAGTGAGGAGGATAGATTAGGCCCTTGTCTGTAGTAATACAGGCACAGCTTTAGCTGTCGGTAAAATAAGAGTTGAAAAGTAAAGCTCTGATTTACCGTTCAATATACATTACAGACTGTCACCTATGCTCCTAAAATCTGGATCATGACCAAAGGAAACGTCTGAACTGAGCTTCCTCCCCTTCATTAATAGTTACGCTAAGATGGTTTGGGAATATAATAACCACATTAACTTCCATGATTATATTTACAGATATTTCAGGATCATCCCACTGAGCATCACTTCTGGCTAGGAGCACCACAGGGTTCCTTGCAAAGAACTAGGTTATATTGAAAGTTTGTCCTATGCCTCAAATCGATGTGTTTTTAAACATAGAGTATTACATTTTGGGACAATTTTTTGCCTTTTTATTCAAAATGAAAGATCAAAAAACAGAGCCCCTGCAACAAAACTTTCCAATGTCCTATAGTTTGATGTTCTTTTTCTAAATGCACTGTAGTAGATGTATGTTATTCTGCAAAGAAAGAAAAAAAGAAAGATTGGGGCAGAGAAACCTGGATGTTAAGCCTCCATGGACTCATTTTCAAAGGGACACATCTAATGCTCTTCCTCTAAGGAAAATAGTCAC